CTCCTTCGCCCCGCCCCCTGCAGGCTCTCGGCCCCTCCTTCGCCCCGCCCCCTGCAGGCTCTCCGCTCCCCACTCCCTGGCCCAGCGCGCCCCATTCTGCCTGCAGAGGCCGGCGTGGGGCTGGGCATCGGCCTGTGCAGCGTCCCCTCCTCTCAGCGCATCTCGGGCATCTTCGTGCACACCCTCGCCCCCGGCTCGGTGGCGCACCTGGACGGGCGGCTCCGGTAGGCCTCGCCGGGCCCTCCAGCGGGCCTGGGGTGGGGGACAGCGGGAGACGCACTGAGGTGACCAGGCATGGCTCGGCCAGTCCCTCGGGTGGGGCCCGGGCCACGCAGGGCCATCGAGGGCGGGTGTCGGCCAGCTGAGGCCCCCACAGAGCCTCTCGGGACAGTAAGTCGGGGTGGCGTGAGGGGTCTGTCCACACAGAAGCAGGCGCTGCCCGCTGGGCAGCCGCTCCTGGCCCCAGCGGGCATTCGGAGTGCGCCAGACACGCTCCTTGGAAGTGGCCGCAGAGAGGCGTCAGCTGTGGACTCCCAGAACACATGACCTGAGTTTGGGGCGCAGGCGCCTGGTGTGAGGTCGCGCCTCAGGCCCCCCGCTTTCCGGGTCAGGCCAGGTGGGCAGTTTGCCGCGTCCCACGCAGTTCCGGCCCAGCGGGGCCTCCGGCAGCCCCTCTGTCTGCCTCGTGAGAGGCGGACGTTCCTGGGGCCTGCAAGGGGCCACACCGGGACGCTGAGGCAGGAGTGGGTGGGGGCCCGAGGGCCCTGGTGTGGCCTCGGCCCCCCGGCCACAGGGCCCTGCTGCTCCCCAGCTGCGGTGATGAGATCGTGGAGGTCAACGCGTCCCCCGCGCACTGCCTGACGCTCAACCAGGTGTACGCCGTCTTGAGCCACTGCGCCCCGGGGCCCGTCCCCATCATCGTCAGCCGGCACCCGGACGCCCAGGTGGAATGCGGGCACCGTCCCTGCCGGGCTCCCTCTCCTGCCTGCGTGCCCTCCCCTGCCCGCGCGCCCTCCCCTGCCCAGCTCCCTCCCCTGCCCGCGCGCCCTCCCCTGCCTGCGCGCCCTCTCCTGTCCTTGTGCGCCCTCTGCCGTCCTTGCGCCCTCTCCTGCCCGCGCGCCCTCCCCTGCCCGGCTCCCTCTCCTGCCCGCG